GCGGAGCCAGGGGCTGCGCATATTGAATTATCTGGACGACTGGCTGATTTTGGCTCAATCACGGACGGAGCTTCTGTCGCACCGCGCAGTTCTCCTCGACCATCTGAAAACGCTGGGCCTCTCTGTCAACTGGACAAAGAGCTCCCTTCAACCCAGTCAATCGATTTCCTTCCTAGGAATAGATTTGAACTCGGTCACAATGTCGGCTCGCCTGTCTACACAGCGCGCGCGCAGTGTTCAGCGACTAGCCGCCTCTTTTCAGATGGGCACCCGCACACCTCTGAAAACTTTTCAGAGGATGCTGGGCTACATGGCCTCAGCCTCCGCTGTGCTTCAGCTGGGCCTTCTGCACATGCGCCCGCTTCAGCTCTGGTTAAAAAGCCGTGTACCCCACCGCGCGTGGAACACGGGCCGCCAGCTGATCAGGGTTACGCAGACATGTCTCACGGCACTGCAGCCATGGACAGTAGCAGAATGGTTTCGGCGAGGCGTCACGATGGGGACCTTTTCCCGCCGAAAGGTCATCTCGACAGACGCATCCAACACGGGTTGGGGTGCGGTCTGCGAGGGCTCACCGGCCTTCGGCCATTGGTCGACTCAGGAAAGCCCCTTGCACATAAACTGTCTGGAAATGCTTGCGGTCGAGAACGCGCTCTCGCGCTTCCTCCCGCTCATTCGGGGACACCACGTCCTGATCCGTTCAGACAACATGGCTGTGGTCTCCTATCTCAACCGTCAGGGCGGTGTCAGATCCAGGAATCTCTTCCTGCTGACACACCGCATTCTAGTTTGGTCTCAGAGCCGCCTGCTCTCGCTCAGAGCGACGCATGTGCCGGGCCATCTGAACGACGGTCCAGACATACTGTCCAGGAACCTCATCTCCACAGGAGAATGGTCCCTGAACACACAAACGGTCCAAATACTGTGGTGGCTATTCGGCAGAGCAGAAGTGGACCTCTTCGCGTCAGAGGAGAACGCTCACTGCCCAATATTTTTTTCAAGGAGCGAGGACGCGCTAGCCCAGGAATGGCCTCGCCGCCCGCTCTATGCATTCCCTCCGATCGCTCTGCTACCGCAGGTAATTCAGAGGATGAGGGACACACGCCGCTCGGTGCTCCTCATAGCCCCGCGCTGGGAGAGTCAGACTTGGGTTCCGGAGCTCACTCAGCTGTCACAGACAGCCCCGTGGCCCATCCCAGTCAGAGCAGATCTCCTCTCTCAAGCTCGCGGCACGATCTGGCACCCCCATCCACAGCGCTGGGCGCTCCATGCATGGGTGATCAACGACTATTCGTCGATTTGCCAGAGGGAGTAAGAAACACTATCATACAGGCTAGAGCACCTTACACGAGAAGGCTCTATGCGTCTAAATGGTCTGTGTTCTCAAAATGGTGCACCGACAAACATCTGGACCCACGGTCGTGCGAGGTGCCGTCTTTGCTTGTTTTCCTTCAAGAGATGCTGGACAAGGGCAGGTCCCCCTCCACTCTCAAGGTTTACGTGGCAGCCGTCGCGGCGTTCACTGAACCCCGACGCGCTCAGTCCCTGGGCAAAGACGAGTTAGTCATCCGCTTCCTCAGGGGAGCTAAGAGGATGAACCCTCCGCGCCCCCCTTCGGTTCCTATCTGGGATCTTTCTATAGTTCTCGAAGCTATGAAAGCACCCCCGTTCGAACCGCTCGAGTCTGTGGACCTAAAATACCTCTCGCTCAAAACCGTTTTTCTGACGGCTCTGTCCTCAGTAAAACGTGTGGGGGATCTTCACGCGCTCTCATCCAGCGCCGCGTGTCTTGAGTTTGGACCGAATGATTCTGTCGTCATTCTCAAACCTAGGCATGGCTATGTCCCGAAGGTGATTGGTACCCCGTTCAGGGCTCAGATTATTTCCCTATCGGCTCTACCTTCATCCGATAGTGAGCGCGACGCCAATCTCCTCTGCCCGGTGCGGGCCCTGAGATTGTACACTACGCGCGCTGCCGCGTTCAGACGCGCTGAGCAGCTTTTCGTGTCGTTTGGGGGGCGCACCAAGGGTCTGGCCGCCTCAAAACAGACGCTGTCTAGATGGATAGTGGACGCGATTGCCTCTGCTTACGCATCTAAATGCCTGCCCTGCCCTCTGGGCATCAGGGCTCACTCCACTAGAGGCATGGCCTCATCGTGGGCATGGTCCTGTGGAATTTCCATTCATGACATTTGTGTGGCCGCGGATGGGCCTCCCCGTCCACCTTTGTCAGATTTTACAACTTGGAAGTTCCCGCCTTGCAGGCAAAAGTACTAGCCGTCTAACGATCAGCTCCCTAAGAAGCTGCATTACTGGGAGTCCCTCACACAACCGGTTCGCCCCTTGTGCTCCCCTTAGATGCTTATGTATACACTTCATGTGCCCGCTCTGCCGGCCTCATATTACATTCACTCCACGTTAAGAATCCCCCGGTATCTCCCCGGGATTCATGAGTGGATTCATAGCGTGCACGGCGTTGACCAGGTGTTCCCGCAGGGTAAGCTAGCTTACGCAATACGAGAGAACCTCTCGTAAGAGAACGAATCGGTTACCTAACGTAACCTCGGTTCTCTCTAGATGAGGGAACGAGTATTGCGTTCCCGGCCGTGCTTGCGCTACTAGCGTTTCGCTTCACGCTGAAATAAATCAACATATAAGCCTGGGAGAGACTGTTATATACACCATAGCCACGCCCATTCTGGCGGGCCATGACGCAATGAGCGCGCGGGCGCTTCTCATTGGCAGCGGGTTCAGCCCCGCTCTCCCATAGGCTTAAGCAGTTCTCTCTGAGCGAACCAATGAGCCGCTAGCTAGCCTGCTCTAGGTCTGCCGCAGAGGAACTGCGTTGTCAATGGATACAAATTATGATATCATTTTTTGGCTTCAAATTCTCAGCAAAGATGAATCTTTCCCGCAGCGTAAGCTAGCTTACGCAATACTCGTTCCCTCATCTAGAGAGAACCGAGGTTACGTTAGGTAACCGATTCGATTCTCCACTCACTCCATTGCTTTGTTGTCCAGTTGAAAGGTGTTGCATGATCGCCTGGTCAGCTGCAAGTCGCCGCGGTGGTTTCTGGCGCCCAAGTCTCGCTATCCTCTGTGCTGGTGCTGTCACTAGCAGCAACTTTTAGCGGCAGCGGCGTTAACACCGGCAAGCTAGTTGTAGCTGGTGCACTGTCATCACTCCTCTTCGTTTGTTTTGTAAATCTAAATTGACTGAGGTTTGGCTGCTTCCTTTTTGACATTCTTATTAGTATCCACAGAGTGTTCCAAAAAACGAATAAAGTATGTTTTAAACTTGAAGCTAAGCTAACATTCAAATACCAACTCAGTGAGAAGTTCAAGCGGTGACGTAAACATAGTAATTGCAGTGCAGCGCCGCCACGCATGGATGGTCACAGCAGGAGACACAGCATTGCATTTATTAGTGGAGACAGATGTTCGGAAATAGTAATGCAATGAGCGAATAAACACTGACACATTTTTAATATCATCATTTATTTCAGGAACCTTAATGTACAGAAAATCAATCTATATGCGACACAAAAAATGGACAGTGTTTTAGAGCTCCCCCTAAATGTCTCAAAGTAGGCTTTCAGGGGAGCCGAGCTCCCCTTAGCTCCCCCGTAATTCGTTGTTTCAAATGTATGAATTTCTTGAATTGCTAAACACTAAAGAAGACATAGCTGCCAACTCTCACGCATTGGCCGTGAGACACCCGCATTTGATTGGTTTCACACGCTCACACGCCACACTCCCGATTTCTCACGCTGAAGTGTCAACCCGGGCGGTCAAATGCCTGGAAGATGAGTTTATCTATATATCTACCTGTTGAGCCACTCGTGATCGACTAGTTATACCGCAAATTCGTTAAAAATCTCCCGTTATCTAGAGCGAGCGTGCATGCGAGACAGAGATTGTGCTCCAAACCGCGTAGAGCGAGCGAGAGACCTTGCGCGAGCGAGACCGCCCAACCCCCCCACCCCCCCAGCAACAAATCTCCGAGCCGAGCAAAACTCAAAAGTTGGCAGGTATGATATTTTGAAGCATGTCGATAATCATAGAGTTGATGGACTATGGAAACAAATGGGTCTATCAACTGTTTGGTTTTCAATTTTAAGTGAACTATTCCTTTAAATAAGTTTTGTTTATTAAGCGGCAAAAGTTACATATAGTGTATACCTTTAACTGATTTCATTCATTGTGTTTATCAGAATGAGATTTTATTTTTATTGGGAGAAATCTAAATCAGACAACTTGCATTGAGCTTCTCAGACAGAACTGGAGTTGCTAAGGTAAATCTTCATCTTTTAATGACACTCACATGTTTTATTAATTAAACTTGTATAACTTTAAAATCAATTAAAATTTTGGAGTCCAGAAGGTGAATACAATTACAATTCAATTCAATTACAAGTTTAAAACTTTAACCCAAATCAAATATATTTGGGGAAATAAATAGTGTTTATATAATCTTAAACAAGATAATAGATTTTATATTGGTTGTTTTGTAATTGTATCTAATGAAGGTTATATAGTTTATAGATTGGTTTCCGCCAGTAGAGGCGCTCGAGCAACCGAAGCAATGACACACATCCGAGTCTAGGAGAAGAAGAGAAGTGAGCGAGGGAAGGGAACATAAACATGAGAAGTGGAACACAGCCGTTCATTCTGCTCTAAATCTGCTGTTTTCAGACTGTGAGTACATTAATTTGATCATTTATTAGGAGAAATCTAAATCCGAACGGCTGAACGAGTCAGTTCATTTAGTGAATCACTCAGAAATAAATCGACTGATGTTGTTCATTACGCTCGTGAAACAAACTTGTTACTGACTGTTTTTCACATTAAAATTTTTGAAGATTGAGTTGGTTTTCATTTTATTTAATGAAACCTGGTAAACAGTTTTAATGCATGTAAATCTTATCTAATGTAAGAGCAACATAAACATCAGCTAGAGGAGTTGAATTGTTTATAGTTGGTAGTTTGATCAATCTCGAGTGATTGTAAGTGTGATGATCATCTGCTAAATGAGCAACAACGACCACAATTCACTCCTTCAGTCAGTGAAGCTCCCACAGCCGTTCATGAGAGTTTAAATGCTGGGGAATATTCCCATCTTCCCACAGGAGAAGAAGAAGCAAGCAGGAGGAATTACTCCAGGAGAAACTACGGACATACTATTGTAAAAATGGAGATTAAGGAAGAACCCTGCAGAATAAAAGATGAAGATACAGAGGAACAAATAGGTTGGTGTTTTCCTTCATTCTCGTTGACTTATGTGGAACATAAAAGACCAATTCACACAGACAGACGCAGATCCACGCAGAGAGTCACCAGATTACGGATGTCACCATACCAAAAACTAGTAGTCTGTAGTAATACTGATACCACCATGGTAAAAAAAAAGAACAACATACTTACAATACTTAAATATTAACTCCTTTATATGTTTTTATTATGTATACATATTTTTAAAAGAAATGACAATAAACTCACCAAAATGTTTGATCACTCACTCAGTGTATTTGTTTTTTTATTAGGTAATTTGTTGCAATAATCAGTAATAAAACAACGATTAAACACATTGGAAGCAGTAGCATAAATAAAAACAATAGAATAAAGATAATTAAGCAATGCTGTATATTTTCTTCAGGTATATAGGTCTCACAGTAGTATTCAAGTAAAAATACCACATAAATTGAATAATCAAATATTAAATTACTCTGCATAATCATAACTGTATAATTTAAATATTAATCCTTATTTAAGCTATTAATCCTTATCTAAGATATTATTTGGTTGTTTGATTATCATTATTAACACAGGCAGCCAATAGACAGCAGTTTTTAAAGGCTGCTGTCACTTAAGACCTAATGAATGGGGACATGCTTTTACACATGCTTTTCACATTCACATAATTGACGTAAATATTCACCAAGACGGGCATTTTGACATAACTATGTGTGTATTTGAACGTTTATGTGTAATAAGCCACAAAAATCTAACACTCGTGAGAGACGGCTATGTGTGTGGGCGTTGGTTGAGCACTGACTGAAGAGGGCGCGCGAGTACTTTAAGTTTATAGTTTAAAATCGCTTGAATTTATAAATTGGCCTGATATAAAGCACTAAAGTCTTGTATTGTACCGTGCAGCTTGCTTGCAGAGCAAAATCAATGTGAATAAATGGATGTGAAGACATTTGCGCATTTTGAGAGGGCGAAAGAGAAGACTTGACGAGCCGCTTGCGCTGGTTTCTGTGACTAAAACTGTGATCAAACCTTCTGTAATAATTCCAAACATGAATCTCGACTATATTTATAAATACACTACACAGTTCTATGTGATAATAATTTATTTTTATTTTTTTTTGAAAACCTGTAGTATTTTCGAATTACCGCGCTTTCCACCCTCATATCCCCCTGAGACGAGAGATTTATGAATTCAAAAATAATTTCACATTTCTTCTACATAAATGACCCATTTTAAATACACATTCATCTTTCCAGAGGTGAAGTATCCCTTTAAGGAAGAACCCTGCAGAATAAAAGATGAAGATACAGAGGAACAAATAGGTTGGTGTTTTCCTTCATTCTCTTTAATGACTGATGAGGAACATTAAGATGAAAACTCACATATCCTCTTGAGATCCAGGCTTCGACTTTTGAGTCTGGTTTCCGGTAAAGAGCACATTCAGGGCTTTTCAGAGATACCACATGTTTAGGTTTCACCATTACAACTCCTTCTCTTTGGCTTTAAAATCGATCGACTGAATAATCAAATCTATAAACCCCAGTCAGCTGAAGATTGTGCGTACATGCGTCTCCTCCCAGAAATAACCATATATGAATCTTACAACGCCGCGTTTTACAATGCGTAGCATCATCTGCATTTCATTTCCAAGCATATTCTCATCCATGTGATAACATGTTTAATGATACAAGACAGTACAATATAAGATACGGACTATGTGCCGTCACATTACATAACTAAAATTCTTTCAGTATCCTTGTCTTGTTTTGCAATAAATAAATACAAATTTTATAAAATACATTTCAGAGAAAGTTTTCAGAGAAGAGTTATTTTTTATTAATTAAAAGGGAATTAAAGGGATACTCCACCGATTTTTCATATTAAACTGTTATTCCCTTAACTAAGACGAGTTGATGCATACCTCTCTCGTCTCAGTGCGTACACTCAATCGCTCTGGCGCGCGAGACACTTTGTTAGCACTTAGCTTAGCCCAGTTCATTCATTAGGATCCAAGCAGAGAAGCGACCAAACACCTCCACGTTTTCCCTATTTAAATACAGTTACACGAGTAGTGAACTCGACCAAGAATGGTGACACAAAATAAAACATTGCACTTTTCTAAGCGTGTAAAGTAGATAACTATAATGTATGGCGGAATACCATAGCAAGTGCTTGGGAGCACTTCGACTCGGCGCATATATATCTATGAACTCGGCGCAGTAATATCATCATATCATCATCACACGCTTAGAAAAGCGCAACGCTTTATTTTGTGTCACCATTCTTGGTCGAGTTACACTACTCGTGTAACTGTATTTAAATAGGGAAACGTGGAGGTGTTTGGTCGCTTCTCTGCTTGGATCCTAATGAATGAACTGGGCTAAGCTAAGTGCTAACAAAGTTTCGCCGCAAGACAGAGCGATTGAGTGTACGCACTGAGACGAGAGAGGTATGCATCAACTCCTCTTAGTTAAAGGAATAACAGTTTAATATGAAAAAACGGTGGAGTATCCCTTTAAAGCGGAATTGTCATGCGCCAAGCAAATCCTCGCTGGTTAAAACATTAAAACAGCATGCTACTGGAAAAGTGTTCAAAAGCAGCGCATCCACTACCAATATTTCTATTTAAATGAATAATTAATCAATATTTAATTTAATAATTAATACATATTTTTATAAATATTAAGTGTGTCCGTACGGTGTGCACATTTACGCCTAGTTTATTTTTTATAAATCACCATATGTGCGTGGAAAATTGCAGCGTTTATACATCTGGCCCCGGGACTTAGATGAAATATGAGATATTCTCATGAAAATGTTGGCAAGTTATTACTCATTATAACATAACTCATTCATTACATGTTGCCACAAGAACACATTAATATGCAAATTAAATAAATTATATAGAATGGGACTACACGTTTATGGTGATTTTACACATTGCATAAAGTAAAATAGTTTTTTCAAATCATACTCTGTTTTAAAAATGTATTGGTAAATGAAAAAAGAATGCCTATACATGTCTTATGTCATTTTATTTTCTTAATAACTTAGTCCTGGTGTACAGACAAAATATGAATAAACTATCTTTAAAAAAAATCTCCATTTGTTTCTTATGCTCCAAATAATCTAATGACAAAATAAACAACTAAGGGGGCTTTCACACTAGCACTTTTGGTGCGCACCCGGGTTCGAATGACGTCAGAGTTCGGTTCGTTTGGTTGATGTGAACACTGTCTTCCGAACTCGGGTGCGCACCCGCGAACCGTACTCGGGTCCGCTTAAAAAGGTGGTCTGGGGTACGGTTCATGTGAACTCGGGTACGGTTCGCTGCTGATATGAACGCTATCGAACCAAACCGCGGAAGTGAACCGTTATTGATGTATAGGCTAATGTGGTCGTCAGGACAGTCGTCTGTCGCACGCGCATCACTTTCTCTTTCGTGCGTGCGTGTGTGTGTGTATATAGGCTACCTTGATGAAAAGCGGGATTGACGCACTGCAAGCAGAGAGAGAATTTCTGCTTGCCCCCACAAAAAATTGTCTTCGGCGGACAGCCCGCTGTCTTTGAAACGTTTTCAGAATTTTTGCGGCAGACAGACGCAAGTGTGTTTCTGTATGTCTATGTTGAAAACAAAACCAAAGGTTAAAAAATAGAAGAACAAATGTCAACCGAGCAAGTCTATCCATTTTGGGCGCCTTTTTTCATTCGCGGTTACCAATCAACACTATTACGCCAGCTGCAGCCTGATGACGCAAGCGTACCGCGGCTCGGATATAAATAATATAATGTGAACACAGTCCATTGGGGGCAGGGGGAGGGGGGGAGCAATCGAACTCGGGTTCGGAACAGGCAATCGAACCAAGTGTGAAAGCGCCCTAAAAAAACGAAAAAGTTCTGGTTCTCCGGAGGATATAACAATACATCTAAAACTAGATACTAATAGACTCGGTAGTAAACTAGATTTGTGCTAAATTAAGAATGAACGTTTTTTTCTTCTTCTCATTTGTCCTTTTTTAATTGAATTATGGGAATTTAATGTTGTTTTTAGACCCGATGGAAGTGAATGAAGACAAACAGCAACAGTTTCAAAAACCTCATAATTTCACAAATGAAGATGGAAATGGAGTCGTTTCACAGACTGAAGACAATTTCACACAGAAACAAGCTGGAAAATCTGGAGTCAAAGGATTTTTCACCTGCTCTGAGTGTGGAATGTTTTACGTGCACAAATCAGACCTTAATAAACACATGAAATCTCACACTGGAGAAAATCTGTTCACATGCTCTCAGTGTGGAAAGAGTTTCACATGTAAATCAACCCTTAAAAGACACACGAGAGAACACACTGGAGAAAGGCCTTATACATGCTCTCAGTGTGGAAAGTGTTTCGCACGTAAATCAACCCTTAAAAGACACACGAGAGAACACACTGGAGAAAGGCCTTATACATGCTCTCAGTGTGGAAAGAGTTTCAGTCAAAAAAGAAACCTAGAAGATCACATGAGAATTCACACTGGAGAAAAACCGTTCACATGCACTCAGTGTGGAAAGAGTTTCAGTCAAAAAAGAAACCTAGAAGTTCACATGAGAATTCACACTGGAGAAAGGCCTTATACATTCTCTCAGTGTGGAATGAGTTCCGCTTACAAAAACATTTTCAAAGAGCATTTGCTCTCTCACTCTGGATCAATCAGCTGTGATCAGTGTGATAAAACATTTGTTTATTTATCTAGCTTAAAAAAACACCTTAAAGTTCATGCTGGTGTGAATCCTCACGTTTGTTCTGTATGTGGAAAGAGTTTTTCGCGACTGGCGACTTTAAGAGTGCATGAGAGTATTCATACTGGTGTGAGACCTCATTTGTGCTCTGACTGTGGGAAGGCCTTTATTACATCAGGCGCATTAAAACAACACCAAAGAAATCACACTGGAGAGAAACCGCAGTGCTCTTCATGTGGGAGGAGTTTCACCCAATTATCTACTCTACAGAAACATAAGAAAAAGCATTGCCCTCAGGTGTCTAAGTGAGCCAAGTTCAGATCCATGACTTGTAAATAATTTGATTTTCAGATTAAGCATAAGGTGGAATTACGTTTTAATAGAGTAATTTAAAATTAGTATTGAAGTTTGATTGTTTGACAAGGGGAACCTTTAAGGAAGGTCAAAATGGTTGTGTATTATATAGTTCTACAAATCTTTCTCATGTGATCGCAACAATGTGAAAATACTCGTGTCAGTGTCATCGCTTAAGCAGTGCATGGTCATCTCATATCTCAGACATAGCACCAACAGATCCAGATCCAGGGACATACTACACCTGCAGCAACTACAACAGAGCCTACCGCTCAAATCTGCAAACCAACCACAGAGACTCCTTGACGCATATTCCAGACGGATACCAACAATGGTCATCTGTGTTGCCATAAAACGCTATGATTTATGAAAGAATGTGTTTTGTTTCTTTGTGTAGTTTAAAGGTGCTATATGTAACTTTTCTTCTAAAATGAATCCTTTTTTTTATTGCCTGTGTGTGAAGGGGTTGTAATCACACATTACAATGATCCACTTGTCGGGTTTTGCTATTATCTCTGAAGGCCAATATTCCTATTTCTGTGTGAAGGCTCCGGGTCGGATTTTCTGCGAAATCCATCGGATGTGACGTGCATGCGCGCTCCCGAGCCTCTCTCCTTTTTATATACAGTCTATGCGACGGCACTGCAGCTGACGACATGGAGTCTGATAACACCAAACACGACCCACACTCCAACACAAACTCCACATAAAAAGATTTCCATTACACGAGAGTAGATGTTAAAACTTCATGCTGATTTGTACTCGGCTTTCGCCAAGATAAGCAAAACTAAGACGTAGCTTTACGGTAAACTATGCTTCTCCATCTATTTACGCTTCTTTCCATATGGTGGTGTGTCCCCCCTTCTGTCCGGTGTTAACGGCTGCAGTTTATTTGGCGCGTCAGCACACGCGACGGCTGCAACTACAGGATCAGCACGACAACCGTCTGGATTGAGCCGAGTAGGGGACATCTCTAGGGTCTTCAAGTGGGCACCTTCCGTCCTCAGTGTTTCGTCGACTAGCCCACGACACCTCAAGAGGGCTCGACAGTGACTCTGGCGTCCCAGAGTCACCCCCCTCCGTCCCCCACTCAACTCAGCCCAGCTTACTGACCTCTACATCCCTCCTGCTGCTGAGACCTAACCACAATCTCACAATCTCTCCGCAACCCAACCATACGCGCCAACCCGTTTGACTAAGGCTGTCGAGCCCCACTGGTGCGTTAATATGCAGTTTCAGTGGCAACGGTTCCGTATGGCATACCACCTACCGCAAAACACAATATCTGCCCAACCACCCGTCATTCGCGCAATATCCACAGGAACGTATACAAATAAACCAACAGACTCTTCAAGTTTTCAAGAATTCTACGAAACCGTAGCGTGGCGGCCTGTACACAGCCAGCTAGAATCTTTCCGTCTCAACCACAGCCAGTTGCTGCTCCTTTCTGCTGCTTCAGATAAGTTCTTTACTGTGCGACGCAACTCTTGGCCGCTGAATCCGACGTCTCTGAGGAACCGGGTTGTAGAGTGTGCCACAAAACCTCGACAACCCACTTCCACTGGATAAACCTGGACTCTCCATCCTCGCTGTTCTGCTTCAGTGGCCAGATGAGCATACCGCAGTTTCTTCCTCTCATATGCCTCATCTACCGCATCCTCCCATGGCACTGTTAACTCTATCAGTTGAACAATGCGTGCTGATCCAGACCACAAAACAATATCTGGTCGTAGGTTAGTGGTGGCAATCTCAGGTGGAAAAATAAGCCGTTGGTCAAGATCAGCCAGCATCTTCCAGTCCCTAGCAGCTTCCAGTTGTCCTGGGCGAGAATTGGTGTTAACACCTTTTCTTGGTGGTTGCTCGCCTGGGCGGAGGAATATTGTCTTCTGCGTGTAATGTTTTGCTAGAACAGGCGGCAACTTATTGGTCATACTACGCTTGCCTTCCAATGCTAAAGCCAAACATCGCAGTACTTGGTCATGGCGCCAAGTAAACCGACCTTGGCTAAGAGCCTCCTTATATCCTGTCAAAATGTGCCTTAATGTGGCAGGTGATGAACACAAAGGACAAGAGGGATCCTCTCCTACCCAGAAGTTTAGGTTCTGCGGTGATGGGAGAACATCATATGTTGACCTAATAAGGAAACTGATCCTACTCTCTTCCATTGACCAAAGGTCTTGCCAGCCCATCTTGCGTTGTTCCACACTCTCCCATCTCATCCACTCTCCCTGCTTGGCCTGGGAAATGGCCTTTATACACCTCATCCTCTCCTCCTGCTTTCGCACCTCATTGACTACCAGCTTCCTCCTTTGAGCTGGGCCTGCCTTGTGCCATTTAGGAGGAGCTAAACTGAGCCCAAAACCCCCTCTTCCATGCTGTACCTGTCCCACGATATCCCCAATTTGAAGGGCAGCCTTTGCCTCTACTACAGATTTCTTTGCTGACCACTTTCTACCAGTTTTTAACACAGGGGCTGCCTCCCTTACACATTTGTCACTAAGGGTGTCACGATTTCGATATTAAATCGAAATCGATCGAAATTAATTCAATGGTATCGAAATCGAAATAAAAAATGGTATCGTCGATACTGCCACGCCCCATGTCGCGTCCGTGATGGAAAGTTCGGATCGTTTTACAGATTCTATTGTTCAATCTCGTTCATCAAAATTAACTAAACTTTTTTTCTAGTCATTTCAGGGGTTTTAAATGTTATACTATTAACATGCAAATTCCCCGAACATTAAGAAGATGTACATAATGATGAATGCATTGAAAAATAATTTACACTACAGGGAACAAATAATTACTTTACCTTCCGAGTCTTTTGTTCATTTGTCGCGTGACAGAGGCAATGAACAGATCGTTTATGATGAATGACTCATTCATGATGAACGACTCATCACGGTGCGGAAAACAAAACACCTGTTGAAAGGCTGCGAGTCCTCTAACTGACACATCATGGCAACTGCAGATATCGAAGACCCATCAACGGAACTTGAACACCCTCCTGCTTCTCTGAAGTCGCCGGTGTGGAGGTATTTTGGATTTGCAGTGCGGTATGTTGACAACGTTCGCGTTGTCGACAAAAAAGCCACAGTTTGCAAGCTCTGCTATGTGCGTGTACCATATATAAATACGGAGAAAGACATTCAAAGCTTCATTCTAAAACCCCAATAGAAGCCTTAATAAAGTTATTGTTACATTTATGATGTTACTTGTTTTTGTTATATTTTAAATTTGGCAATGGTGTAGTGTACATTGTGAACAAATTTATATTGCATAATGCATAAACGTGTAGTCTAAAAATTGCATAGCAATCTGCGCTTTAAATTTTTTTTTTTTAAATCGAGAATCGAATCGAATCGTGACCTTAGAATCGAAAACTTAATCGAATCGAGGATTTGGAGAATCGTGACACCCCTATTTGTCACGTGACTCTACTAAGGTCATTTCCAGTCTGACCTTGCTACACTTAAACTCCTCTGTTAAAGCAGAGACTGGCAGCTGCAATATTCCTTTACTATAAAGTCCCACTCTGCTGAGACAGCGTAACTCTCAACCATTTCCTGATGTATGAACTTATCAACGCTTCCAGCTTATCCACTGTTGTCAAAGAAACGTCGTACACGGTCAGTGGCCACAGCAACCTCGGCAGTAGACCAAACTGAAAGCACCAGAGTTTTAGTTTGCCAGGTAGAGCACAGCTGTTTATGCTCTTCAACCCTTCCACTGCTTGTCGTCTAACTTCTCCCACCCGAACTGTGTCCTTTAGATCCCCATCGTACCATCTCCCAAGACTCTTCACTGGCTTCTCAGAAACTGTTGGTATTGCCTCACCATTAATGAAGAATGTTTTATCTACTACCTTTCCTTTAACTGTCGAGATGCTCCTTGATTTAGAGGGCTTAAATTGCATTCGTGCCCATTCAATATTATCTGTTAACTTCCCCAATAACCGATTAGTGCAGGCTACTGTTGTAGTCATGGTTGTCATGTCATCCATGTATGCTCTGATTGGTGGTAGTCGCATCCCAGAAGCCAAGCGCTCTCCTCCTACTACCCATCTTGATGCCCTAATGATTACTTCCATTGCCATGGTAAAAACCAGTGGAGAAATGGTGCATCCTGCCATTATTCCAACCTCTAGGCATTGCCATGCAGTGCTTAATTTTTTGAGTTGAGAAACTGAATTGCAAATCTCCTAAATAGGCTTTCACTAAATTTGTTATTGACATTGGTACTCTGAAAAAATCAAATGCTGCCCAAAGAAGCTCATGTGGCACTGAACCATATGCATTAGCCAAATCCAGGAATGTCACATGGAGCTCCTTCCTCTCCTTTTTAGCTGACTGAATTCGTTGCCAGATAACATTGATGTGTTCTAAGCATCCTGAGAACCCTGGAATGCCCGCTTTTTGAACTGAGGTGTCAATGAAGCCATTCTTTAACAGGTAGGTGGACAATCTCTGGGCAATAATGCTGAAGAAAATCTCACCCTCAACGTTTAATAGTGAAATAGGACGAAACTGACTGATGCTTGTAGCATCTTTTTCTTTAGGTATAAAGACTCCACCTGCTCTGCACTAGGGCTGTCACTTTTTATTCGATATTCGAATATGCATTCGAACATGACGTGAAATATCCGTAATCGAACTATAAATAAACTAACCGGTTTTTAAAGTGCCATGTGTAGCGCATTTTTTACAGTCTATGATTAGACCGTTTGTTTTTTATTTTATTGTTTGCCATCTCATCCAGTAGCGGGCACTCTAAACGTATTGTAGCGTAAGCTCATGACCAAATCAAGCGAATAATACCACCCTGTTTTGAAAATGGAAGATAACGCACAGAACGGCCAGCCTGAGCGGACAATTTCTACCCCAACTCATCTAAAAAGTAGTGTCTGGAAATGGACAATCCGATTGATGAATCCGAACACGGTGTTTACATGAACG